TGGCTGCATTGCTGGCAGCCTGCACCCAAGTTTAGCCCTGGGGGGGGCCGGGAAGCCGCTGTCCTATTCCTGGCCTGCCGGGTCGGGTGGGGTGGTGCCGCTTTCAGCTGATGCTCTGCCACCAGTTGACCCTTGGAGGTGGCTCCTGTCCCCTCCTCCTGCCTCAGTTTCTCCTCTTGCCGTGTGATCGCTCTGTGCCAACGGCTCTGGAGGCTGTTCCTGTGATACCCAGCCCTGGAATATTGCAGTTCCTGGGGTAGGGAGTGCTTTTCCCCAGTGTTTTTCCGCCCCTTGCCTGCAAAGCCAGGGTGTTCCCACATCGGGGAGCTGGATCACCAGTGGGGCTGGATGGGGACAGGGGTCCCCCAGTACTGGGGGGGGAACTGGGAGCCGATGAGCTTTGGCAGTGCCCTCGGTGCTGCAGGCTCTGCACTCAGTGTGTGCACTCTGCTGTCTCCCCAGAAACACCCCGACTTCCCCAAGAAGCCCCTGACTCCCTATTTCCGCTTCTTCATGGAGAAGCGGGCCAAATACGCCAAGCTTCACCCCGAAATGAGCAACCTGGATCTCACCAAGATCCTGTCCAAGAAATACAAGGAGCTTCCTGAGAAGAAAAAGGTACGGGTTGGGGTGGAAATCAGGCAACCCCTTCCCACTTGAGTGCCTCTGTGTGCTGGGCTGTGCCTCGCCAGCTCTCCCAGTAAAACCAGCAGAGCTCAGCCTCTGCCTGCCGAGGGTTTAATCTGGTTCTCAATGGGAGAAACCCGGGTTGTTTAGTCCTGTCAGACCAGTATGGTTTCCTTTCCCTTTCCTGTGCTGGTTCGCAGGAGCCGTGGGGTGGAGGTGAGCTGGGTTTGTCCGTTGGTCTGTCTCTCCCAGACGGACCTGGATGGTGACTTGGCTGTTGGGTGGCTCTGTGTTTGTTTAGCTGGGGTTAAACCACACACCCTGCCACACCGGTGCTGTCCAAGCAAGGGATGGAAGGGCAGGATCTGCTCCGAGCCATGGGAGATGCTGAGACAGGAGCTGTCCCCTTCACCTTCAGCTCTGGAGGTGGCCCTGGGCTTGCCCAGAGCCCTGCAGGCATTTTGAGTGCCCCAGCTCTCAATTTGGGTGGATTTGCTGCTGGCACGAAAGGTCCAGGGCACAAAATGCTGCCGTGCCCTCTTGCCCTGGGCTGCTCATGAGCTCAGATGCAGGGAGAGGGGTGAGATCCTGGTTCTGAAACCCTGAGCAAGCTGAAAACCCTCAGCTGGGAGCTGCAGGACCAGGCTGCGGGGCTGGAGAGCCCTCGTGTCCCTTTGGGGGTGATGAGGTCAACAGGGAGGTATCTGCCTGCCCGTTTCCTGGTGCTGACATCCCTCTCCACCTCCCCAGATGAAATATATCCAGGACTTCCAGCGAGAGAAGCAGGAGTTTGAGAGGAACCTGGCGAGGTTCAGGTGAGAAGGCAGCGCCCCCCCTGCATTTCCCCAGGCCCCTCTGGGCAGACCCAGTCTCTCCTCCTGTGTGCAGCTCACGGAGGAAGCCCTGATGGGCGCTGCAGCCTGAAGGCAGAAGGGAAAGGGGGAAAATGGATTAAAAAGAGCAAGGAAAAGCTGGGAAACTCTGCAAGTGGAGGACCAGCCATGCTCTGGGGTTAGGGTCTGCAAGGGGAGGACAGGGGCTGTGCCACCAGTGCTGTTAAAAGCTGAAGTGACCACCCTGTTCCCCCTACACCTCCCCGTTGAAGGTGGTTGCTGTGACCCAGGCAGTTCCTGGCATTCCCAGTGTCCTGCTCCTGCTCCAGGGCTGCAGCCCAGAGCATAAACTCAGTGATCCTAAAGGTCTTTTACAACCAAAGCCATTCAGTGTTAGTAGGGGATGCTCATAACTGGTGCTCCCCCAAGGAGGACAGACTCAAATCTTTCCTGAAAGCCTCCTGCTCTTTTTGGGGACCCCCCTCAGTATCTGAGCCTGTGGAGTTCAGCCCTGCAGTGACAGTCACCCCTTAGCAGCAAGGTTTACGGGGTGTTCTCCATCCACCTGCCACGTCCCTAACGCTCTCCCTTCCCCACCTCCCTGCCGGGTAAAGGGAAGATCACCCGGACCTCATCCAGAACGCCAAGAAATCCGACGTCCCCGAAAAACCCAAGACCCCCCAGCAGCTGTGGTACAACCACGAGAAGAAGATCTACTTGAAAGTGCGTCCAGATGTGAGTACGGTGGGTGGGAGTGCGTGTGAGCGTGAGTGTCGAGGGGTCCTGCACCCCGCTGCCGGGGCAGAGGAGGGGGAAATGAGAAGCATTTTAGGGGGTTTAAACGGGATGGAAGACACCGCTAGGAGCTCCCAGCAGCCTGGACGGAGGTAAGGAGGGACTCTGCACATCCTGAAGAGGCTCTGGGGGATACAGACCCCATTTTTTTGCCTGCAGTCGAAGGGGTGACCGCAGCCTGAGTCAGGGCAGGAAAGGTTTCAGCACAGACGTCCACCTCCGGCCATGCCCCGCACTCGCACGCACCCCCTTCCCCAGCGGCGAGCTCGGCTCGCAGCCACCCCGCAGCCCCACAGCGGGCGCTGCCGGGATGAAATGGCAGGCAACGCTATTTTTTTTGCCTTATTTTTTTGTCCCTCTTCTTTTTTTTTTTTCTTTTTGGATTTTACCCCTCTGCCCTCACCTCTGGCTTTGGGTTTTCAGGCCACCACGAAGGAGGTGAAAGAGTCGCTGGGCAAGCAGTGGTCTCAACTCTCGGATAAAAAGAGGCTGAAATGGATTCATAAGGCCCTGGAACAGCGGAAGGAGTACGAGGTAGGGAGCAGCCTCACCCGTTCCCCTCCACACTCGTCCCTACGTTCACTCCGAGCCACTCTGCCTCCTGGCCACAGCCGCCGGCTGGTAGCCAGCCTCAATAGCCAGCATGGAGGTTCAGCCAGGTCCTTGCAGGTCCCTAGTGAGTCTGAGCCCTGCCTCCTCCAGCGCTGCTTGCGGAAGGGAGAAGAGCCCCTGGGGAGATGGTTAGGGCAATGGTTGGCTTCTCTTTCCTCCTCCTCCGGCCCCCGGGCAGGCGGGGATCGGAGCCGCTCTCCTGACAGCTCAGTGTCCTTTGCAGGAGATCATGCGGGACTACATCCAGAAGCACCCCGAGCTGAACATCAGCGAGGAGGGCATCACCCGCTCCACGCTCACCAAGGCTGAGCGGCAGCTCAAGGACAAATTCGACGGCCGACCCACGAAGCCCCCTCCGTGAGTATCGCCCCTCGCCGCTGGAGTGCAAGGGATGGGTCCCTGGTTCTTGCTAACGGGGAAGGTGGGGCTCTGCCTGGCTTTGAGAGCCCCAAAAGCATCACTGCTGGGACAAGGGACATGGGCTGTCTGTGACTGCATTAAACTGGTCCTTAAATATACATTAAATACACATTCGTAGAGAATCTAAGCAAGGTTTATGGTGATGCTGCGTGCTCCGGGTTAGGGGTAATCCAACCCCTAGCATCCCTAAAATCCAGTCACCTCTAGCACAACACTTCACTGCCCTGTGCAGCCCAGAGGGCAGCTGAGGGGGGTTTTGGGGGGCTCTTAGCACCCAGCCAGCTCCACGAAGGGATTATGAGCAGTGCAGGTTGTCCCTAATGCCGTGTCCCTCCATCAATCGCAGGAATAGCTACTCCCTCTACTGTGCAGAGCTGATGGCCAACATGAAAGACGTGCCCAGCACCGAGCGGATGGTGCTGTGCAGCCAGCAGTGGAAGCTGCTGTCCCAGAAGGAAAAGGACGCGTACCACAAAAAGTGTGACCAGGTGAGCGGCCGAGAGTGGACAGGCAGATGGACACCAGTGCTGTGGGCAGGGAGGACAGGATAGGGGAGGGTTTGGGCTCCAAATCTCGCTGGAAATGAGCCCCTCGCCCTTCTGCAGTGCCTGTTCTTGTCACCTTGACCACTGATTCCCTCTGAGGTCCTTGGTCACCTCCCTTGATCGTCTGTCTCCCCAGTCCACGTGTTAGAGATGGTCAGGGTGGAGGATGCTGTTGTTGAGGGGGCTGAGGCTGGGTCGGGGACAGCACAAGGCAAGGATGGGGTGGAGGATCTCTGTGTAACCACACATCTCCATCTCCCTCCAGAAAAAGAAAGACTACGAGATCGAGCTCCTCCGCTTCCTGGAGGTGAGTGACGTGGGGGTGCCTCGGCCATGGGGCAAACGTGGGGAGGGAGCCCTGGCTGGGGTCTGAGATGGGTTAAACGAGGGCTGCACTGATGCTGCCCTCTTCTGCCCCCCCCCCAAAACGTGGCTGGCCCCAGCCATAGGTGCTGTGTAGAGATTTCTGCAGAGTCTCAACCCTTCCCCGCCTGCCCTAATGCCTGACCCAGTGTTTTCCAGTTGGGCACTGGGAGGTGGGGACAGCCCCAACTTGGCCGGAAGGGGAAGCAGGGGTTGAGCAGAGGGTTGGTGCTGGAGGAGAGGGGTTGCCACCAGCGGCTGCGGCTGTGCCGTCTCTCGCTTCCTTCCCTCATTCGGGGCGTAGGTGGGGGGAGCCACACGGCACCGCTGGGACCGTCCCAGCATCACGCTCGGCCCCTGGGCGGATGTGACGCTGCACCCACGAGGGCAGGGGGTGGAAAACCCAGGGGTGCACCCAGATCCGGGCACCTGCCCGCCCTGCCTCCATGCACAGGAGGGAGATGAGAGTGAGCCAGGGAGGGGACAGAGCTGGGGAAGAGGGACATTGGCCAGCAAGGAGGGTGACACAGGTGTGGGGACCCCCAGGCTGCCCACTCAGTGCCTCACATTGGCTGTGGTTGTGGTGGTTTTTGAATCAGGAGAACTGAGCACATGAGTTCCCTGTCCCCAGTGTCCCTATTCCCTGATTGCACCAGAGCCTCGTTAGTGTCGGGCTGTCTAATTGTGCCTCTCTTCCTGTGCCACCCAGAGCCTGCCCGAGGAGGAGCAGCAACGGGTGCTCGGCGAGGAGAAGATGCTGGGCAGCAATCGGAAAGGGGCGACGAGTCCCGCATCCAAAAAGTCCTCACCAGAGACCGGCAAGGTGAGAGATGGGGCTGCGCACCAGAGACAGGGGGTGGGGTTGGTGGCATCTCGGGGTGCTTTGAGGGCCTCATCCCTCACGGTTTTCCTGGGGTTGGAGGCTGCTGGTGCGAGACAGGTCCCTCTCTGTGCTCATGGCCCCCTGTTCCCCATACAGGCCAGCTCAGAGAAGCCCAAACGACCCATCTCAGCCATGTTCATCTTTTCGGAAGAGAAGCGGAAGCAGCTGCAGGAGGAGCGGCCGGAGCTTTCGGAGAGCGAGCTGACCCGGCTCCTGGCCCGCATGTGGAACGACCTCTCCGAGAAGAAGAAGGTCGGTACTGTCCCCAGCCCTTCTCCATCCTCATCTCTGACAGCCCAGGAGATGCTGCCTGTCCTTGTCCTGCTGCAAGGGGCTTTGCTCACCCCTGGGTACCGCAGCAGGGGGACACGATGGTCCCCAGGAACATCACAGCTCTGGTGAGCTATCACCCAGGCACTGGTGTTGACACCGGTGGATACCCATGGCTGTGACCTGGTGGGTGAAAACCCAACAGCTTGACTCTTGGAGGGTCCTTGAGCCTCAATATCAAGGCTTGATCATTTTTGGGGGTGAGAGGGGGGGTCCCACACATGGGTAGCAGGGGGACACGATGGTCCCCAGGAACATCACAGCTCTGGTGAGCTATCACCCAGGCACTGGTGTTGACACCGGTGGATACCCATGGCTGTGACCTGGTGGGTGAAAACCCAACAGCTTGACTCTTGGAGGGTCCTTGAGCCTCAATATCAAGGCTTGATCATTTTTGGGGGTGAGAGGGGGGGTCCCACACATGGGTGTGCGTGCCCCCCCGTGCAGGCCAAGTACAAAGCGCGGGAGGCGGCGATGAAGGCGCAGTCGGAGAAGAAGCACGGCTCAGATAAAGAGGAGCGTGGGAAGCTGCCCGAGTCCCCCAAAACGGCCGAGGAGATCTGGCAACAGAGCGTCATTGGAGACTACCTGGCTC